TGGTGAACTTGCTTAAGAGCACGTTCATTTCTGTTTATATCTCGGGAGGTGAACTTTCATTTGCAGCCCGAGACGGGAAGTTGGTTGGGAACGACCACTGTCACGTTTGGCTCGCAGGCAGGCGCATGTTTTGGATTGGAAGCAATGTCACGCCGCTTTCATTCTTTGAATTGTGTGAAATCATTTGCAGGCTGAGCGCGACAAGGCGTTCAATGACCTCCCCCGTTTCGCCTACTGCTCAAGGTTTTGAACAGTAGTAGCAGTTCATACCTGAACCTGTTTATTTTGGTCGGCTTAATTCGGCACTGGACGCATTAAGCAACTGAACAAGCTTGGAACACGAGGTTCGCGTGTACGTGGGCCCACTTCGAGATTGGGCTGGCAGGAGCAAATCCACTTTGCCACCTGCAGAACATACGAAAACACTTAACATATTGGGAAAGTAGTCAGACAATACAATTGCGTGCCAGGACTGACTTGGCAAAGATGCAGGCACAGCTAAAGGAGCACTTCCTGAAGTTTGGCAAGCCCCTTATACTGGTCGTTTTATTGTCGCATAACTACACAACCACAACTCGGATCTATCGAGGTCGAGTCCGAAGTTGCCGTGTCATGTGCCCCAGAGCGTTTCCTGGCCAGCCTGCTGCCCAGAGTGCGTTTGCTTCCCAATAGCGTTCATGCAGAATGGCGGCATGTTCTGTGTTTGCAAAAAAGAACTGCATATTCTTGCATGCAAGAGATGCCTTTCCAAACTAGGTCTGCACTCCCCTTCGGCTTGCTGGAATGTCACCCCACCGCAGCCCGTGTGGTCCTGACAAATCGACAGGCTGCAATTCTGGACAATTTTTTGTATATCGTATTCATTTGTATTTCGTATTCCCTGAGATGCCTTGCGGATCGTTTCAGACGCATAGAACCATCGTGATGTGATGGTTGGATTGAAACTTCGTTGATTTTGCTGAACGGAAGCATACGCCAAGTCCGAGTACTGCGTTGACAAGAAACGAGAAGCATGTCCTCAGCTGGGCTCGAGGGATGTCGGCAGTAGCATGGGCCTTTTTGGCCCGAGAGGGCTTGACCTAGTGCCATGTGGGTTCAAACCTCGGCAACATTCTTGCTTTCAAGACCAATGCCAATGTACCTATTGAAACATGCATTTAGAGAGATGGTTGCTCATTTCGCGTCACTTTGCAAGAGTGCTTGTCGCTCTGCAGGTAGTGCTGATTTTCTTGACAGTGAGGGCACAGGAGCAATTGAACGTGCCAGAAACACGCCTGAAACTGCAAACTGCGCCAGCTTGAGCTTTCAGTGCGGTGAGTTGACGAGGATTATGGCTCTTCGGAGATGTTTGTGAGAGATTTGTTGGGCAAAAGCCAGGCTGGAAGCTATATAGATTCATACTGATCACTGATAGCCATTCTTCTGACAGTTTGAAAGGCAGATGCTGAGAGACAGCGCGAACTTGAAGCTACGTTTGCCAACTTTGACCATGACGGGTGGGGTGCCTGGGGTGTTTTGCGTAGCCTCAGTGTCCTCTCTGGCTCGGTGCACCGCTCCGTGCATCCGACAGGGATGGTGCCTTGAACAGAACTGAGTCGCCAACCCAGGACCGCTACTAGGAGCAAAGGGCATCGCTAGTAGGAGCAAGGACCCTACTAGGGGCTCCTGGCCATACTACTAGGAGCAAGAAGCTACTAGGAGCTCGAGAGGTTCACTTCGTGTACTGTGTCATGTGGGTAAGGTCGTGGGCCTGGTACCGCTTCCTTGATGAAGACGGAGAGGCGAGGCAAACTTAAGACGACTAATGGCAGTGCAAATGAGTGCTTGAATTAATCAGGATGCGGATGTGACGGAGCAACATCGTGCTGCTTTCCTGGAGTTTGACGAAGACCATGACGACAAGTTTTCAAAGCCAGAAGTAGAAGAACTGTTGCTTTGCATGGACAAGGTGCCGCCCATGTCCGATGTATAAATCCATGTGGGGAGCAGTCATGCAAGGGAATGCAATCCTGAAAGAATTACACTATACTGAAGACGTTGAGACCCAACATCATATGTATGTGTTCTGTGCAACAGCCACACAGCTGACACAAACTGTGCAGGTAGAAGCGCTCAAAGACGCTGTGGACATGGAAGACGAAGAAGACGAAGATGATGACCAAGATGAGGAAGATGACGAAGAGGGGAAGGACGAGGGGAAGGACGAGGGGGCGGAGGAGTCTGACGACGAAGATGAGGATGAAGACTCTGACAATGAAGAGGAATCATTTTCTGAATCGAAGTTAGCAGGTGTCACTACAGTGTGAGAGAGACAATGTGCCCGTCACTGGGTAACTTTGATGACCCAGTACTTTGCCCACCACAGGCTTTTAAGTGAACTAGGGACCTGTACAAGTCGGTCATGGAGTTGAACGTACATTCTTGCACAACTCCGCGGGAAGAGCACACTTTATGTTTGTGCTTGATTGACAATCTGCTGTGGCACGAAGCTACACGTTTCACCATTCAAAGTGATGCAAGAGATTTGGAAGCAAAATTCTTGCTGAGGGTGCAGACAAACATGACAAAAGCACAGCATTAGCTTCGGGCAGCACCCTTTTAACCTTTGCAATTCTGACAGGCTCAATCCTTTCCTGGGCATCGCTCACTCTTCAAAGTCAGCTTGGCAGAAGCCGAGGCCAACGAGACCCGTTGTCCAAGCCCCAGAAGCAAACCGTACAAACCGTGAAGGTGATGAGTTTGCGAAATCTCTTGGACCCTGCTCCAGCTTGAGGTGCTGTACCTCTTTCAAAACATGGGTCCTTTTTAGCTCGTCTTGGATGAGTGTGAGGCTTTTATACCCATCAGTGCAGTACAATGTACGATCAAGGATTGTTTGAGTCTTGTTTCACGCGAACAGATGGCAAAAGGTTGCTCTCGCAGCAGCTTGCTCTGGTTGTGGTCAGAAAGACATCTCGCAACGAGCATGTAATGCTTGCATTGTTGCTGAGCTTTTCACATGATTCACAAGCGGGCAGTGCTTTGTCTGGACATGGAGGAATCCTCAGCAACATTGAGCAGGAGGAGAGTGAAGACCTACGCATGGTTGCACTTGACACGCTGCTTTCATTGATGATCGGGGGGTGCCTGGGCCTGTGGTGCCGCTTCCTGCCATGGCATTGTGCAAGTTTCCTTTGTCCTTCTCAGCCCTTGGGATCGTGATAACAGGTGCACCTTGACTCGATGCCCACCTACTTTTGTGGTTGAGGTGTGCTGGCTTAAGCTTTGTAATTTTCTTTGTGATTCTGATTGCCAGGCTGGAGCAGTTGCAGTGCTTTGCCACAAGCTCGGAACCGTTTTGCATGGGTACCACACGCTGGATATTTGGAGAACTCCAATCCGAGCTTTCTACCTATTTTACTTGTCCACAGCACTTGGAGATTGTAGGGTTGCTGGGACTCTGTTCATCTCGCGTTTTCTGACATACTCAATTGTAGGGAAAGTATAAATTCCTTGACTTTTCACTTTCTCAGGCAAGGTCGCCAATGAAGGTGAAGATGCTACAGCACTCGAGGTGGACAATGGCTGCAAACATTGACCTGCTTTGGTTGCCTGACAATCTACCTGAGTTATTCCAGAGGTCATTTGCTGTTTTGCTAGCCCGCCAACCACTTTCTCTTGCCCAGCTGCCAGATACTTCTGGAGCTTGCTCGCATGTCGCCAGATACAATGCTTCCTGCTATCATTGAACAAGGAAGATCGCTCAGACAGCATTTTTCTGTTCTAGTTTAGCATGTTTGATTGGCTCAGGGTCTGCTCAAGCCTGCCTCAAGATTCTCGACAACTCAGCTCATATCTTGGAACACCAAAGACAGCTTTTGTTCAGCAAATTTTGATTATCAGGGAGCGGACCCAATGGACCAGCTCACAGCGCAGCGCCCTTATATGAGTGGAACAGTGGAACATCTTTGAGATCGGCGAAAGCTGACGCTGCCATGTCCAGGCTGAATCTTCTGCTGTCTCTCACAAAGCGGGCTCCAGCACCCATTGCAGCAGCGGGTGCCTACGAAGTTGTGAAGGTGCCAACCGGGTCAGTGTGGGAGGTCTTTTCAAGGGGGCCAAGGATGACGAGGAGGGAGAGACTGCCAGCACCAAACTGATAGAAACATGAAGCATTGAATGCGCTTTCAAAGCAAGGTTCTCCAATATGGTTCAACCAATGGGATCTCATGAGAGTCATGACTCATGACGCATATGACTGTCACGATTTGATTTGCTTTGCAGGGCGTCTCCAATGTTGCACTGGTCCCAAGAAGAAACAAGATCATGAGCCTGGGACTCAGAAATCAGAAACCCTGATTTCAGTTCTCTCCATCTGGATGTTCACTGCTAAGACTTCCTACGACCTTTGGTAGAGCATGAGGGGGAGAATCCTCTTTTGACCAATATCAGGACGGCCTTTCTAGACTACTAGAGCTGCTGGCGGAACCTTTTAGGGTTCTTTTGAATCTCAAATAGCACTGATGCACCTCTAGCAGCAGGACTGGTGGCCTGAAGTCTCCTTAAGCAAAAAGACACTGAGCCAAAGCCTATTTCAGCAGCACTTGTGCAAAGCGGTAAATTTTGATAGCTTCTAGCTCTTGCAGTCCTCGTTGCTTGGACAAATCAACATGTTTCGATGTTTCTCAAGATTTTTGCAGACACCTGATCACAAAGCATCTCGCCACATTTGCGTCATGTTTCAAGCATTCTTCAAAGTTGCAGCTGATATTGAACTTGCTTTAGGATCTAGAAGACAACACTCCAGACATCTTCCTGACGCCGTTTGGACAGCCTACAGAAGCACGCACACTACCGGATGACATCCACATAGAAGCAAGTATTGAGAATGAATAACTTTGAGTCAAGACAGGTGAGCGTGCTGCACGACACGTCTTTTGTCTTGACGCTTAGGATCCTCATGGTATGAGACTGTTTCAGTGTGTTCTTGGGGTCTGGCCTAAAGCCAAAGTTCGATTGAGGCTTTTTGATTTCTCACTCCAACAAAAGCTCAAAGCCGGTCCACAGCAATGGTCGGCAGAAGGCCTGTCGCTGCTGGGCACCGAAATGGTGTCTCGGGGCAGCTTTGGGTCGCATCTCGGCAAATAGAACAAAGGACAACCTGAGGTCAGACAATGTCAGACATGTTGAAATGGAATGGAAGATGGGGTGAGGTTCAATGTTGGAGGCAGAGGTAGTTGGACCAGGTTCTATTCCTTGTTCAGTTCAAGACAAAGTTTTTACTGCAGGTCTCTCTTCAGCTTGGTGCGAACAGCGCAGCAACAGCTCTCAGAAGACGTTGCAGAACGGCAGATCCAAGATCACTGTGCAACCCGCATTCAGGCAACTACAGACGGTTTGTGAAGGCTTTGTTCGATTTCAGGGCTTTCAATTGATTGCTGTTCAAGCAGAGGCGGCATGGAGGCGTGCTGCAGCCTCCTTCGCGCTGACCAGACAGGCTCAATTGCGACGATCAAACACGCGGAAGACAACATCTTGCTTCCGTCTCCTGATGTCTTTAGACTCCCAAAAGACATTCCAACAAAACCACACTGTCTTCAAGAGATCCTCAGCTGCTTTGCCAACGGAGGTTGCTTGCAACTATCGAGATCAACTTGTCCGGAAGTGCTGCGAGAATTTAACACAGCGGATGCAAGCGAAGGCACTTTTCTGCTTTGGGAGGGACATGTTTTGAGAAGCTGACAAGGCACTAAGATGTCTTTGAGTGGACTACTGTAGCTGTTCAAAGTTGCAAACGAGAAAACTGGGCATTAGAGAAGCAATGGATGTCATGCCCGAGTGACCCTCTGCTCCAATTGAGCGCTGACCTCTAGAGGATGCCACATGTGCCAACAACCAAAGCGAATAACGAAGAAATAAGAGGTGAGAAAGAGAAGGTAAGGGTCCTTTGAATGGACCCCTTGCCTTTATCCCTCATCTCATTTTCCCGAATACGTAGCGAAGGGCTTTCGTTTAGATCTGGTGATGTTGCTTTCATTTTCGCAACCGTCCGCAACCATCTCTATTTGAACCAAAAGCCCTCCCGTTGGCGGAACCGTTGGAGGAGGTCTTGGATGATTCGCATGAAGCGGATCTTGCTGCGCAGGTACAGTGTTTTGCGAGGTCAGCGCTTCACGTCGCCCGCGTTTGAGGGTGGTCTTTTGGAGGAGGTCTTTTGGAGGTGTTGAGTGTCGCTGTGCCATCAGGATTGGCTCTGGAAGCCCTTGCCTGGCAAAGTTGAGATTTTGAGGGTCTTGAGTGAAGTAACGATGCCAAAATCATTCCGAACGTGTGGCGAGGTGCAAACATGTCAAGCTGTGGCGTAGTCACTGTTCGTGGCAGTTGCTGTGCTTTGTGCATGTTGCAGGTGCTAGGCGGCAGTTTGCCTGGCAGGAGTAGTCAGAAGAGGACAGTCGACGTCAAGTGTTTCTGACAATCTAGGTTCTTGTCGCTTTTGCTTTGTGGTTCAATTTTGCGTTTGAGCATTGGCGCCAAATTGACGGGTATTTTGCAAGGCGGGGCCGGAAGCGATCCCATACAGAACTGGCAAAGTCAGAACTTGAACTGGGCCCCGAGATGCCGACAAAGATTCCAGAAGAAATTGCATGTGATTCGCAGAACCCTGGAATTGGGGCAAGCATTTCGTGTTCAAAGGCCGCAGTGCCGCAGTGAACAGTCCCGGCTGGAATGGTTCATCTTTTGGTTTCCACTGCACCAATAGACTCAGGAGGTGTGGCAGTACAATGACAAACGCCGAGCGAAAGTAGATGGATAGACGACGGATTTTAGGGTGTCAGTTGGTGATGTTGGAAAGCGAAACAAAGTTCAAAGGAAACAGTCCGGGAACAAGCGTATGACTTTTGCAGAGAATTGACCGATCTTTCGCCCGATAGCCAGACGTCGAGTGAGCCAGATCGGAACAATTAACAACCTTCCATGGCTTCAGGTGAGCAGGCCACGCACGCATTGGATGGCAATGAGGAAGATTGGTATTACAGAACAAGGTTCCCGGACGTGATCGTGGAGTGAGCAGCAACCCAGAGCAAGGGCAACAACATCATGCGCAAGCAATCGCGATTAATTAGATACACATCACAGCAGTGAAAGTGGTGAGTCCGAATCAACAAGGATATGAAGATCTACAAGCTCGAACCTAGAAGGGGGTATCGGATGAAAAACTGTTGGAGATACAGACGTCACTTCAGCTCGACGGAAAGCGAGGAGGATTGAACGATCACCTTGACTACACCATGTGAGCCAGGCACGCGCGAGAAACTTTACCGCAATTCGACCCCAGACAGTGTGAGCGTTTTCTATTTTTTTTGACGTCGTCAACTCCGTGAATTCCAATGTTGGTGGAGACGCCTGCAAGTACGCTCTTCTACATCCTAACCGCTGTGGGAGCTGCGCCTAAACAAAAACAGTTTGAAAGCACTAGTTCCAGAGGAGGACAAGAGGACACAAGAGAAGGACAAGAGGAGGACAAGAGGAGAGGACACAAGAGAAGGACAAGAGGAGGACAAGAGGATGACAAGAGGAGGACAAGAGAACGACAAGAGAAGGACAAGAGGAGGACAAGAGGAGGACAAGAGAAGGACAAGAGGAGGACAAGAGGAGGACAAGAGGAGGACAAGAGGAGGACAAGAGGAGGACAAGAGAAGGACCAGAGGAGGACAACAGGAGGACAAGGAGGACAAGAGAAGGACAAGAGGACGACAATAGGAGGACAAGAGGAGGACAAGAGGAAGACAAGAGGAGGACAAGAGAAGGACAAGAGGAAGACAAGAGGACAGGAGGAGGACAAGGGGAGGGCAAGAGGATGACAAGAGGAGGACTAGAGGAGAACAAGAGGAGGACAAAAGGTTTTTTTCGTTTCAGTCGCAGCATCATGTCGACGCTCGCGTGGGCCACGTCTCCTCTGGACGGCCGTTGGCTAGGGCCCGCTCCTGCGTTCCGGAGCTCTAAAAACTTCCTACTCAGGCCAGCGAGAGTCGAGCTGTGCTAAGAACTCCGCTAGGCCCTGACCAAGGGTGTCAGTCTCATCTGTGTCACCCCTGATCTCATCATTCCTAGCTCTCACTCCGCGCTGCCGCAGCTCAGCGCCAAAAGCGGCCGCGCTTTCGCCAGCAGCTGCATACAAAGCCGGGTCAGCCGCCTCCTGTAGGGCTTCACTCAGAGCCGTGCTGTCAGCCAGTGCCCATTGGATGCGCTCACTGGGCCGCAACCGAAGATCAAAGATCGAGCCCATAGGTTCCAGCTCGCGTGCATGGAATGCTATCGCGAGGCCGAGCGCCGCCAGCATCTGACATCGATGTGGTTGGAGCTGAACGGGTCCCTTTTCAAGGTTCAGGGAACCAACACACCACACACACGGCAGCACTTCATCAGTCCATTGCGGCCATGTGGCATTCAGATGTTGCATGCCAAGTTGCCACAACTCCCAGTGGTAGGCTGTGGCATGCTCCTCAAGGAGGTCGACGCTCATCACCGGGATCCCACACACCGGACAGGTCGTGCGCAGAAGCCTCGACAGGAAGGAGTCCCACGCCTGGAAGAGCCCATAGTTGGCATTGGCATAGCACCTGACAGCATGGGTGATGAGTTCATCCTTCATGAGTGCCGAGGGCGTGGCAGCTGGAGGACAGGTCAAGTACCTGTGGGCATCGACAAGCCAGACCAGCAGGATGTCCTGGCCCTGATCCAGATGGAGGGCATGATCTTGCCGTGCTTCCCAGTTGTCCTGAAAGGAGACCCACCCATTGTGTCCCTGGCAGCAGGCACGATAGTGGCCAGCCTCATGTGAGCCTGAGTGCACGATCATGCTGGAGACCGATGGCCAAGTCACCTGCCTCACGAAAGCGAGGGAGCCAAATGACTCCATTGGGCGGCAGCTGCAAGCGCCACTCAGCTTTGGCGGCAACACCTAAGGGCGAAAATTGAGACTTTTCGATGTAGAGTACCACACATGTTTGAACGTGATGCAAGGCTGTGACCATGCCATACTGTGTATGCCACTCATCCACACAGTCTTGCAAGGGCAGGATCTTTTTGTCTTGGGCAGCCGGCGTCAAAATGATTGGACCAAGCTTTCCCCCTTGGTCGTGGATTTGATCTGTGCCTCTTCATCCAATTTGCGTTCCCAGGTGTTGTCCACAAGGCGTGGTTGACACCATCCCAAAAAGTGACTGGTGAAGGAGAGCAGTTCCTGTTGCCCTTCACACTGCCAGCCATGAAGCAGAGCCTGCGTGGCCTGATCTCGGAGAAGGTCAAGGGAGTTGCTGGCCCGGCTGCAAAGTGATTGAAACAGTGCCGTGCCAACTCCAAGATCTTGCCAATGCAGATCGCGACATTGGAGCTGGGCCCATAGGAAGGAGACCATGGTGGCATTGAGCCAGCAAGCATTTTGCTGGTTGATGAGCTTCCAGCCCATCAACGTGGCTAGACCCTGGTCTAGATAGCGCGGCCACCGCGCCCATGTCCTTTGAGGAGCTGGCTCACCAACTGTGTCGGGCGGACCATGTGCTGTCGAAGTCGGGCCTCCACCAGCATCCAGACTGAATTGTGACTCAGCCACGACAG